TCTAATTAGTATTGATCTCGTTAACGCTAAAAATAAGTAAATTATCAAAACAGCTAGATAATTAACCGACGCCTTTCATAGAGATTTAAACAGGTGTTAATATCCTTCTTTTTTTTTATTAAAAGTTAATCCTTTAAATAAGGTACAATTATCGAAAACTGTAAGGAGATTGCAATTTTGTTAATATATACATTATTTATTAAAGAGTATTCTACGCGCTCGTAAGCATATTTATTTCTATAGATTTTTTAGAGAACTTGAAATCAATTCTTTCTAGCAAAAATGTAATGCATTCTTTATATGTTCTTGTTTATTCGTATTATTAGTATTTAAATAAAAATAAATAAAAATATGATTAGACAGAAAGCACAGCTTAGCTGTATAGGCTCTATTTAGCTATAACAAGCGTGACGCGAAGGCGAACTGATGAGAAACTAACGGCGCGCGAAAAAGCGAATTGGCAAGCTCATAATCGTTGATCTCCCCTGACGCGCGTACGTACGTTGTAACCGTGATACCTAGGACAATCGAGAGACGTTCCAGTGGTGATGGCAGAAAACAGAGTGACAGAGGCTGAACAAGGAAAGAGAGAAGCGCGGACGTGAAAGATAACGGCTCACCGCCGATCGATCGATCCGTCGAGGCTTTTGTTCGTCTACGCGGCCTGCTATCCGATTTAACTACGAATACTTGATGGAAGGAGGCGTATCGAGGCGTTCCGGTAAGAAGCGGCTTTTATCTCCCGGTTAAGCTAAAGTGCATGAAAGCGCCGCGCGAAAGTTGGGGGAGGGAGATCTTGAACATGACGTACGCGCTCGTAAGTATTACATAAAAAAATCAGTGCAAGTATATTTTTCTATAGAGAAATTTGCTTCAGATTATTCAGAAATACAATGATTGTAAAAAGAGGTGAATATTCAAACATTTTTATACTTTAGAAAAAGTATAAAATATAAATGTAACTGTAAAAGAAGTTTTTAAGAAAGAGGGTGCGCTGCAAGATATCTTTTAACGTGATTCATTATAATAAGAACCGTTAGAATGTTAAAAACAATTGAGTAAGAGAAAATCTGATTCACAAGATGATTTATACTGTAAATGTGACTGACTGAAAATTTAATAAATATCTATCGTTGCACGCGAGCGTCAGCAATTCAACGTTTAAAAAAATCGAAATTAATCCCATCACGATATTTTCCTCCTTCGCTAGCGATGGGGAGGAAGGAGAAGTATAGAGAAATACCGCAGGGCGTAATGCGCGATTAAACGCTCGTATAAATACGCGTTTATGCGCGTAGGGTACGCAGTAGTGAGTCTCGGCGTATTCGCAGACACGGCTGCGACAGCTATTGAACTATTACACGCTTAACTGGAATGGACTGACTGCAGTGGCGTGCCTTGCTGCTCTCGGTGCGTGTGGTGTCACGACCTCAAGCGAGTAATCCCCATACGAATCCGAGAACACAGAGCGGTACAACTCTGTTTAACCCGTCAACGTTCACGCTACGAGAGCGCAGCTCGGCTCAGATTAGAGTTATTTCTCTTCCGCGCGACGATATCGCGCGAATTAACACATCCGATTCACTATAAAACATATTCTCTCTAGAATAATCCGTAATACAAGTCTTCATAACATAAGGAATAAAAAGATTTCGTTCTATTATTTTTTAAATCGTTTTTATATACTTTGATAGAATTGTAATTCAATCATTACTGAATGTTTCAAAGATTTATTTTTGTCATGTAATTTCACGATATTCAGCGTATCGAAGCAATCAAACTAAATAGAAGTTGGTAGAGATATTGACACGTTATATATATATTTGAGATATATTTGAGACTGGAGCGCTCCATGCGATATTCCATAAATATTTCAGAATAATTACAGCAACAATTAAGAGATTTCTGTAAACTGAACATAGAGCTAATTAATAGCTAGATTAAGACCGATTAAGATAATTTCCGCGACAACGTTCAAGCAGAGGAAATAAATTTGCCAGACGTAGCTACTTAAGAGCATAACGCTCGACGAGCGTAACGAGCACGGTGTTTATCATTAATTAAATGCTTCTTACGTCGTCTGCGACTGCAGAGGCAAGATGAGGGAAACCGGGGAGAAAGGGGGGGGACGGGAAAGTTCTCTGGAAAAAAAATCTTTTGCGACACGTAGAAACGTATAACGAAGTTACGCCACTGTCGATGTTCGAAACGTTCGGGGAGTGCGAGTGTCGCGCGGGGGTTGGTTATTTCACGGTCCACTCGTTCTACTCACACCCCACAGAGGCGGTGGCGGCGGCACACAGCAGCCCCTTTCCCAAATCCACCCCTAAGAATTAATTCGAGAGAATCGTCCGGCGACCGACCGACAGCCACTCCTACCTTTTCGAGCGCCCTCGGATCATCTCTCCCTTCTCTCGGATCCGTCTTCTTTCCCATCCCCGTCGCTCCTTTCGTATTCCCGTTCGCGTCGATTTAACTTCCTTTTGACTCCTGCTTCGACAACACCGTCGTTTCGACAGAAGATCCGACGAAAAAGTCAAAATAAGAATATAATAGTGAAAGAATGAGTATAAGTTTCAAAGTTCGTTCAAATTGCTTTTTTGTTCAAAATTAATCGTTGTTATAAAATATTATTAATATATTATATTAAGCTTCTTTACCAAACCAGAATAAACGTGAGAAATTATTTTGACTAATGCCCGTTTAAATTTATAATTTATATCAATAATGGAAAAGTGTATACATCCACGTTCCTCGCAGCTTACAAAACGAACTTACCTTTATTTACGTATAAAATGAAAAATTATTCTTCTAAAAAGACTCAGTCATCCTTCAGTCGGTCCAGTAGCAAAGGACTCTCACAGCTGATTAGCTTCAGTATTTAAATAACATTTAACAACAAGCGTAGGAGTCACTTTGTCCTCTGTTGATGTAAAGAGATGCTTTTATCTTCAATTCATAATTAAGATGTACATAAGCGCGTGGCCAGCTCGCCGACGACGCGTGTCGCGCAGCCCGACCGGGTAGTTTCTAATTTGAGCATCAAAGCAAGGCGCGAGCAATTTTCCGTCAATTGAACGTGGCTGCCTCTGGAAACCGCGAACAAGGCGGCGTTATATGATCGGAATTATGCGTAAAAGACCGCGGTGCGGGTTTTGCGAAGATCTGTGTCTTTCAAAGAACGAATAACGCAGAACCAACATCCGGCCGTCTAATGGTTCACTTCACTTAGCGCGTCTTCCCGCTCGCCTCCTCTCGGAGGCTCCCTTCGTATAGCGTTTCGCCTTTAATTTTCCGCAAAAACAAGAACCACTTTTCTCTCGTGCTCGAAATCAGACGGGCCGCGCTATCGAGAACGACAGACGAGCGATCGCCGCTCGTTAAGAGCTGATAAAGAAAAAAAACGTAATCGGCGAGCTGCGGGAGAGAAGGTAGGAAAGCAATTACGACCCTAAGATTCAGAGAGATACGGAACAATTGACTTTCAGCGCCGCCTTAATTGAACTTATGGCCCTTTTTTTGCAGAAACGTTTCTGCAGAAGTTGTAAAAATCAAAGTGTCGGAAAGTTAAAAATTGTTGAGTAACGATAAATTGATTTTGATTTCGATGTGCCGATTAGTGTATCGTGAAAAACCGGAATTAAGTTTGATTCTCGATTTTATTTAAACGAGGAAAATGTCTCCATACTTGTTCTTTGTATCTATTCGTAGCAAAGAAAAATTAATAAATTTTAAAAATAAAATATACTCTATTGTATTTAAATTGAACTCATGCTGATGTCGCATCGATTTCAATACTTTATAATCGTTGTAGCGGCATTATGGCATTAGACAGCGAATAAGATAAAATTTGTAACTTCACCCGGCAGCGGAATTGTCCCATGGCAAACGCGGACCGTGAACGATACGAGATATTGTTGTTATAACACGACGGTTCGAGTGTGGTAAGCAAAATCGATCTTTATCCTTGTCGCACGTACCAGGGATTATTTGTATCTATACACACTGGATGAAGGTTTTTACGAGCGTAACGTATGATTTTTATTTTACACAGGAACGATCGCTACGTTCCGAATGTGCCTCGTTTTTGCGATCAGCACGAAACATTGCTCACTAATTTTTTTTTCGACAATTGCAATCGCTGCACTCTCACATGCATTCTCGCGTATTCATTTACACGCACGCACCTTACTGCTATATATATAAGAGCGTTTCTGATAAAATCTACTTCCCTTTAAGACAAAAGTTTCTTCCGTCGCTTAACCGCGGCGACGAACGGAGTATATTACAAAGGTGAGAAAACGACAAGGACTCGGGTGTTCGTGTTATTCTACTTTACTTGGAGAAAAGTACCGAAGTCTTTTTTATTGGATGAAGAATTACTCGCGCGCCAGTTCCGGACAATAATTTACGACTCTGTTTAATTTTTACTACGCAAAGCTCAAAAGTGAGAGGCGATGAGTGCAAATTGGAGAAGCAAAAGCAATCAAAACTTTTTAACGAAGTTCCGCCTTCTACCATTCCACTTTCTGTCAAATGTCAGGTTACCTTTTGAGAGACGAGTGCGTACGTTTTAAAAAAGACGTTGTTCTCTTCACTACTAGTCCAAAGCTCGACGTTTAGAGGAAAATACTCACGGAATTTAAATGTTTGTGTCGCGTTGGAATGATACGTTTTTTGAACGTCACCCTACGTAAACCGATTATGCTATCGAGTCGTTCCACGTGCGCAACGGGAAGGCAAAATATAACATTGGGGGCGCTTACGCGCCCCGATCCAACAAACGAAAACATTACACCCATCATCCAATTCAATACTTAATTAGGTTCCAACAATTTTCTTTTTAGACATGTATATATAAAACAAAAATCGGTTCCGACACCAAAATATTGTTCAGTAGTATGTGTATTTTGAAAACAACATAAGTCCAGGAATTAAAATTATTGAAACAAACAAATGCTAAATGTTTTCTTTTAATTATAAATTGCTTTCGAGCGGAATAAGAATAAAAATTAATTTTTTCGTCTTTTTGTTGTGTATATAATATATCCTATTGCCTATTTCTGCAAAAATTACGAACTTATGCTATTTTCAAAATGGCCAATTGATTTCTTTATAATGTATAGAAGATACGTACTCTTTGGTCAAAAACAATTTCGATGATCAGGAGAAATGATCACCAAAAAAAATGACGAATTGTTGGCGAGCTCGTCCGAATGATACCAATAAGAGCTTATAATTTTTTTTTCCTACGAACGTGTACATCTGCGTTTCTTCATATCCTGGTACTTTTCTTGCCACGGCCGGAAGTACTCACACGAGCCTACCGTTTCCTTGCCGAGGACTACAAAGGCGAGGACGTTGACATAGAGTATCATCGCCGAATTCGCTACGCGTGCGGATGCGTATGCGGATGCGGATGCGGATGAGACGAGAGAGCCAGGCCGGTGGAGGAAGGTGTAGAGGTTGGTGGTGGTCCTGACGCAGTCGCAGCAGAAGTCGCCGACAGATGATGGCCGAAGAAGGTCGGTCCGGTCGGCGGATAAGGTGGGGCCGCCGGGTGGTAGTATCCGGGCGGCGGCGGCGGCACCGGCGGCGGCGGGTGGTGTACGTGGGCATGCGGGTGTGGGTGCGCGTGCGAGTGTGGCAATGGGTGCTGGTGAGGATGCGCGGCGAAGAGGAAGGCGGGCGCGTACGGCGACGGATGCGGTGGCGTCGTCGGCACGGTGGGGCTGTTCACATCTAGCCCCGGGTTCTGCTTCTTCCATTTGGTCCGCCGGTTCTGGAACCAGATCTTCACCTGGGTCTCAGTCAGCTGTAACTCGAGAGCCAGATTCAGACGCTCGCACACGGACAGGTATCTGGTCGTCTTGAACTTGTTCTCTAGCCTGACCAGCTGTTCATATGTGAAGGCCGTCCGCGCTCTTCTGGGTTTGCCGCTGGTATTACTATTACTTCCGCCGCCGCCTCCACCACCACCACTACCACCACCACCACCACCACCACCACTGCCGCTAGTGCCGTTCTGTCCGTTTTGACCTTGACCCTGACAGTTTTGTACCTGAACGCCACTCGACGATGTAGACGACGACGACGATGATTGCCGTTTCTTGCAGTTCGTTGTAGTCGTGTTGGTACCGCCGCTAGTTGAATTTTCCCGTCCGACACTGCCCGAATCCTGATCCACGACTCGCATTTCAATCTCCTCGTCTTCCTCTTCCTCCTCAACGTCTTCCTCCATTTCCTCCATAATGGTGTCCGGTGTACCTTCCTCATCTTCCTGGCCGCTGCCGCAGGCGAACTCGCCCCGCGAGTCGCCATCTGAAAATAATAACTGCGGGATCACTTTTGTGTTACGTGGATGAGAGGTAATCACGAAGGGAGAAACGATGATACGGGGTCGGTGTCGGATGACGAGGATTGATTATACGAGGGACAAAATTGCGGCGTAGACGTCGCATTGTACGAGGTGATTCTTACAGATTTAACGGAAATTCACTTCACTCAGCACACGTACTACGTTTCTTTAATTTAATTTGCTAAAATTTGATTTATACCAAAAGAAAATTGATTTCAAATTCTCGAAAGATATAATTGTGAAAAAATATGATAACAAAGCACGTTACATATTTTCAAATTGAAGACTTCTATTATTAGCTTTTCAGTGTGCATTCTATATACATAATATGCTGATAGATTGGCATATAATTTTGTATCATCTTTTAACTATAACAGAAATTTTAGCTATTAGCAATCAATTAATGACCTGTATGCGCTCGTGTCGCTTACCGAACAATGTTTAATTCGAATTCTTATTCATGACTGAGACGATTCGTCACGAGGAAGTATCGCTTCTTGCATCTCGCGAAAAAGCCGCATTGCGTAGCCGAGTCGCCGATCGAGCCTGCGAGAACGGAACGATTTGAGCGCGAATCAGAGAAGAACAGAGAAAAGCGGGGACGGAGGAAGAGAGAAACGGCCAATCGTTCGCTCAATGAGAGAGGAGATTGGAGATTCAATCAGCACGCAGATGTCCCGGGGACAGATATTCCCTGGCTCTGGTCTGTAGGGGTTGGGGTGCCCCTGGGATGCCGCGAGTGGGGATAGCCTACCGAACAAAACCAGAGAGACAGAGAGGAAGAGATAGAAAGAGAATGACATAGAGAGGATAGGCGGAAAGTGACGAGGACGGTACGTCGGCAGTACGTTGAAGGCAGTAAAAGAGACAGAGAAAGATGGAGTAAGCAAGGCAGACCGAGAGAGAAAGCAAGAGGGAGACAGTGGGACTTTATCCGAATTGGCGTGGCTCGTGGCCCATAGCCTACAGCCTAGCACAGTGCCTGGGGGTTGGAAGTCCGTAGGGGGCGACGGATCGAGAAGGTTTACGCCGTAATGGGATTTGTATCTCGTTAACGCGCGATCGTTCTTGCCCCGTCGTACAGGCCGCCAAGCGGCTACCTTTTCCCATCTCCCCGTCTCTCTCTTCGATTCTCTCTTTGGCCTTCTTCCCACTGACTGTATACCGTTCTCGTATAACTCGGTGGTCCCCACATCGAGATATACCTGGTCGGCGCCGATTGATTGCGTCTAATTGAATTGCGTAATTTATATTGTTTCTCCTTCTTCTCACTTCATCACTCGTCCGCTTCACCGAGGATTGCGTTTTGTTTTGTCAGCCGGAGCATTTCGCGGTCTTTGACAATGTCAGGTGTGCCAAGTGTATCTCTTTTCAAATTTTCTCCCTCTCGCTCTCTCTTTTTCTTTCATTTCTAATGTCAGTACGTTCTATATCTAACGCGATAAAATTTCAATTATTGTGATGTATTTTTTTTCAAACTATTAACAATTTAAATGTAACGCAACTTAAAATTGTTAGATTTATAAATTGAAAAATATATGATGAGATTGGAAATACATATCCAAAATGGAAATTGATTAATTAATCAATTGTCGTGGCTTTGGGCTACTTTGAGTATAATTTAGGCTTAATTTCCACAGAAATTAGATTTAATAAAAATATTAGTACTTATTGCAAAATGTTGTCCTGAATTACGCATTTGTCCTAAAAAATGTAATGTATATTTGTTAATGCAAATCTGAAAGAATAATGAAACTGTTTTCTTGAGAGCAGCATTATCAACGTCGTTTCGTCGCCTAATAGTATGACAGCTGCGACGATGATATAAAATTAATTGAGTTCATTAGGAAATTAACGACTGCAGATCGTGTTTCTGTCACTGCGTTTTTATGGCGGTAGAATCGCCGAATGGAAGACCATTCATATTGTTTAGATCTTCTTCATTAACCACGATCAAGCGGGTTATGTGCGAGCGAAGCGATCGGGGATGTATGCCGAGTCCCTAAGGGATACGTTAAGGGTACACAAGGGGGAGAGTCGATCGCAGCGTGCTGCGACAAAGCATCAGACACGGGAATACTTATCTCATTTCGGTTTTCCTCATTAAACACAATGACAGTGTTTAACGACAAGTGGCACGATTGGGAAATACGCAATAAACAAGATCCCTAACGGTCCTGCATTGCTTGTGGCAATGAATTTGCGATATATATGTATGTATAACAGAATTCTAATAATAATATGTAATTGATATTTAAATACTCTAACGTAATTACTCTAATATCGTGTATAATAATACGAATACGTAATAGTACATGCTCTGTGAAATATATATAATTTTTACAAGATCCGTAAAATAGGATCGATTAAAATTTATTACATTGAAAAGCAGAAAATTAACCCCACTCGCGTATTGAATCACACAGGGATTCTTTCATTTGTAATAACGAATGTAGCAGCTGCGAGAAGCGATATGCGGATCGGCGCGATCTCTCAGGGTTTCCGAAGCGTACGTAAGATAATTATAAATTTCGTCGAAATCTAGCGGAAGATCCCGGATCTCGGATCATGAACGCAATGCTCGGAGGGGTGACTTTCGTGGATGCTGCGACAACTAGGAGGGGTAAGGAGAGGGAGAACATAAGCGGGAAAAAGAGAGAGAGAGAGAGAGAGAGAGAAGTCATTGTGATGCAGAAGAGCCAATTTTCTGGGCGGCTTGACGCGATGCGGTGCGATACGGCGCGATGCTGCGCGATTATCATAACAACCGGCGATATTATTCCATGCGGCGGATCCGGGCGACGGGGGTGGAACGGAGATCCCGGTGGCGGCAGTCGAAACGGATTGGCTTGGGTCTGATGCACTTTTAATGGGAAGCGGCGACCATCCCGGTAAGATGGATGAGCCGACAATCGTGTAATCTCGATTTCGACGGCTGCGATCGATCCGTGCGTCCTTTTCTCATCCTTCTCTCTCCTTTCTTCTTTTTTTCCTGGCTTACGCTCCTTCTTCACCCGATGATAAAAATACCCTTAGTCCTGTGCCGACGCGACGCGACGCCACGGCGGGCGGCCTGGACCGTCCATCGAGATGCCGATTTCGCAAGCATCCGATGTCCCGTACCGGGATAAAGGAACGACGATGACGGGGTTCAAGGACTGGTTAACGCAGATTAGCGGAGCAATTTGTCACGCTCCGACAGGCTGCCGCTGCCGCCGTCGCCCGGTCGCTACCCCTGCCCACCTCCGTCGTCGCTGCTTCTGCCTCGCTTCACCCCTTCTTCGGGACGCTTCTTCGGGACGCTTCTCCCTTATCAGCCTGCAGAACCACTTCTCTCGTCTGCCCGCCAGACTCCATTAAATTCGAAAGTCAACTGTGAAATTGGGATCTTCCGCGGCAAACGGTCACCGAACTCGTCCAATCCACCAACGATAAATTTCCCTCGTCGTTGCAAAGTTAGGATAAGAAGGGGCGACAAAAAACTATGTATGTAACATCAATGAAATTGGGATCGACTTAATCGTTTACATATGTAATACGAGGCTTTTGCGATTCCTATGATAAAATAACACAGGCGATTGATGTATTTAGCATAGAATTGGAATAAAATATATATAAATCGGGGTATAAATTAAGTTCTCCGTCGGTCGTGACGTTGCAATTATCCTATAATTAAGTTAGCGGTGAGACATTTTTTTTTTTAAGAAATATGAATTCTCTGTAAAATAATGTGCTTTCAATATTAATTATTCTATATCAGGCAAAATAAAAAAAAAATTTTAATGTAACCTTTGGACAATATACATATATCTTGTAATAGCATCTACTCGTGTAGACTATTTAACACTGTAAATTATTTTAGCATCATATTCCCTCATATAAATTAGCGCCTATCACGTTACCTGAACCCTGTGTAGCTTATACATATCGCTTATGCGGTTGGACCGCGGCTGTATTAACATTATCAAGAACGACGTTAATGAGACGCTGGAAGAGTTTCATTCTCACGTTTCGAGTGAAATATCCTTACGTCGTCACTTTTGCCGGAATCTTCGTGTATCGTCGTACACGCAAATAGCCCGACAGCTCCCAAAATTGCACGATCGTCGGAGAAGAAGTCCTCCTTCTAGCGTCTAAAGTTAGAACGAGGAAGAAGCGAGAGAGGACCAGTGAAGCATCAAGGGGGCTAAGACGCTGTCGCCGGACGCGAAAAAAGATTGCTCGAGAGATCGCGCGAAACTCTAAAGAAGACAGCGATGTGAAAAGTACCATTTTTTTTCAGTTACAAACTGCAAATAATACCGTGTAGCGTGGGATCCTGTGAAGATTTTTCTTGTTTTCGAGGTAATAAATTAATCCAATTACTCCATTTTCATATTAAAAGCAATGCTCATAAATGAAACATTTCTTTTATGTATTGATTATCCAAATGCTTATTTTGAGAATGGTCTGTGTATTTGTTTGTGTATTTTTTTACGATTATATAAAAGACGAATTTGCGAATATATTGATTTATACATATATAAAGAACTATTATATACACCATCATTTTGCAATAAGTATTATTCTGCAATTTTTAGGTAGGTTTACTTTCAAGTCAAAATCAAAGAAATTAAGTTTATTAAAAAAAAAATGATGACTCAAGTTTACTGGCCGACTCTCTCCCTGTCTCTGTTTCAACCAATTAAATTCTGACTAAAACGCACCGCTTAAGACATCACGTGTTCGGTTATTCTTAGTTCATTTGCTGAGATAGCGGCGATATATTTCGGCCGTGTGACGCGGATATGTCAGCGCTCCCTAATCGAGAACGCCAATCAGGCGCTCTAAAAAGCTGCGTGAAGATAACAAAAGACGAAAGCAGAAAGCTTATTATTCACCTTCGTGCACGCTGCCGGCGCGCCGGTGTCGGCGATGCTGCACACGATTATGGACGACGCGACCACCGGTAAATTTGTTCGGATCGAGGATATTCTCGACGGAAAATGCGAGGCACCGCTTGTTGTTCGTCTGCACCGTGCTTGTGGCGGTCGTAGTAATGCTACCTGTCGACGTGCCGGTGGTGGTGCGCGCTACACCACCGGAAGTGCACACTGTCATAACAGCCGAGCCGGTAGCGCCGTGTCCGGATATATACAATGGTGTCCCATGACTGGCAGGTCCGTGGCCACCACTTTGCACACAGGTAAAAGAATGCACGCGGTTGGCGAACGGATGAACGAATTGCTCCGACGCGACGCCTCTCGACGAGGGAGCCGTGAGATCCACCGGGCTGCTGGGATTACTCTCATCGGCGTCCTCCCGACACACATCAACCTCGATGTCCCCGTCCTCGTGGTAGCCGCCGTTTCGATGTCCTTCAGGCTGGCCTTCTTCCTCTTCCTCTTCTTCTTCCTGTTCCTCGTCGTCTTCCTCGTCCACAACGACATTCCTCCTGTTTCGCTCGTCTTCGACTTCATCCTCTTCCTCATCATCCTGCTCTTCCTCCTCTTCGTCGTTCGGCCTTTTCTCTCTGACCTGTGGATCCGTTTCGTGGTACTGATCCTTCTCGACGGCAGTGACGGATCGCAGGATCGGTGGGCTCGACGGCGACTGTTGCTGCCGTACGCTATCGAATCTTGGAAAGGATTCGCCGGTGCGTACGAGTAATACAGGTCTCCTTTCCTGCGATGGTAACGATAAACTGGCACGCATGTCGGTTTCCTCTCGTTGCAGGACGACCGGTCCTAAAGGCGACACGGTCCTGCCTTCCTGCATCCTCCACATTACCCGCTAGTAAGAAGACGATCTTCTTTTATCTAGTCTCGCGACCCTTCATCCTCGCTTCCGAAAATTACAATCACTCTCAGAACCGTTTGTATATTCCTTTTATCGGCGAACTTCACTTTTACCGATTGTGATCGACCACGTCAACGTTAAATCCAACGCAACTCCTTGAACTCCACTTTCCTTCCTTGAACGTCACTAATCCTGACACGATCAATCTCGTCACTAATTTGTTACATTCGTCGCAACAGTGGAACAATTGACGAACGCGAGACCGATTGGATATAAATTAAATTGCACTTTCCGAGACCATATGTGACGAATTGTCGAAGCTTCGCGATGTCAGGCAAATCGTGGATTTAGGATATCCCTCGCGGCATGGACGCGCGATTAGCAATGTCTTTGGTGGCTCGACGCGGCGCGCGTACCGTGGCAGCTATTCTACGCGAGAGTCCCGCGTAGAGCCATGGTGGCAGAATTGGTGGTATATCGGCGTATTATTAGCGCCGAGGAGAGAGCCGTCGCACGAAGAGCGGTGGCACCGTGGGTCCAAGTAGAACGGCGAAAGCGGGGGTTTGTTCCGCCTCAACAGGGCGTGGTTAACCCCGCTCGTACTACCCAAAAAGCTGCCAATGGGCGTGCCGGACGGTTTTCCGCTAGGGGTTGCGCGCACACACGTGCTTTAACACGCTCGTAACCGAGAACCGCACCGCGAGGACCGGCGTGCCTCTGTGTTGGTCGCGTGTGCATCGTTGCACACATTTACTCAACCACACACACATATATATATATATACGCACACAAACGAGACTGTAATATGCTACATGAGCGCGTCGCAGCCCTGAATGGACGAGGCACGAACACGAGGACGAGTCGCGTGCAGACGTCTCGCGGTGAGCTTTCGTCAGATACTCGGCTGTGTACACACAGGTACCACTTCCACCCTCCCTCTCCTCCTTACCCCCTTCTCGTTTACGCGTCTCTCCGCCCCTTTCCGCGATCGGACCGGTTCTCTCTAAAGTGGTTTGTCTTTGATTTAACCACCACAGCGACTCCGTCGAGCGGCGCCGATGAAGGAACACCTTTTCCCTCCGAGCACACGCGAGCGGCATCGGGGCATCATTCGTTGCGCTCGGGAAGGAAGGAAGGAAGACAGAACGTGTGGAGGAATTGCGTGCTCGCCGCGTGTATACGCGTTCGCGAAACGCGAAACGCTCGGTGGGTTTGGCGATGATCATCGGTGTGTTGTCGGCGGTGGGGGCGGCGCATCGCGGCCTCTTCAACGGTTGTGTATAGCAATCTCCCTGTGTATAGGGTGGAGAGTATAATCGTGGTAGGTACACGGGGCGCAGGTATCTTTCTCTCTCTCTCTCTCTCTCTCTCTCTTTCTTCCATCCTTCTGCGAATGCGGGGAGCGGGTGTGGATGGTACTAGCGATCAAATCACGACTAACACACAACGGCCGAACGACCGACCGGCCAACCGACCGACCGACGAACGGACGGACGAGCGGACGGATTGATGTGAGAGCTTGGTGCTGATGCCGCTCCGCTCTTAACTCGGTGCACGGATATTGTTTACCCGACCATTTAGGTAATTGCTGGCCTACCGCCCTGCCAGCCAATCGAACGTAACCGGCGGATGTGTCTGCAATACCGATTTCCCTCTCTCGCCCTCTGTCAACTCCGTCGCTCTGGTGATCTTCAGCTCTTCTCGTCTCACTCTAATTCCTTATCTCTCTCTCTCTCCCTCTCTCTCTCTCTTTTTCTTTTCTCTTCTATCTCTCTCGTTTACTCTTCGCTACCCCGCCGAACCCTCAATCATCATCAAATTAGCTCGGGACCAATTGTTCGGCGAGATTAACACCGTTATTGTCACGGTGATCGATTCTTTCCAGGAAATTGGCGAGATTGGAAAGATACATACGCTTTACCGAAAGATTGTGACAGTGAAGCGTTTTGACAGTTTTAATGATTGCTGTTTTATTGTTTCGATGCTGTATTCGGTGATAAATGTTCGACTAATATAATGCAGCAAGCTCTAAGCGTTTCATACGCGATCGGTTGTTGACGCGAAATTGAAAATATGATTGAGCTTAAAATAGTTTTATAGATGATCCGTACGTCACATATATACGTTTGCGAACGTGAATATTCCATCCTATAAAATTATGACCATGATGGTGATCACATTGGATGACAAATTGGATTAAGGGTGCCTCGACTAATTCTCAATTGTACCGTCTCATTATTTGGTTAGCGCTCGAGTGAAGTAACGGTGCAGTAGTTGAGCCGCGCGAGAAGGTATCGCGGTGTTATCATGTTCCGCGAAAACTAATTATCGCGGGTGCCGTAGTTAATGCGATAATAGACCTTTTATTCATCAAGTCCGACCGTTTTGTTAGCCACGTACATTATATATACATCGCAGCTTGTTCTGCACATACGGACACCCCAGAAAACCACTATTCTTTTCATTTATATATTCTCCGAGGTTTGAAGTAATTTTCTTTTTAAGAAAAATTTTCATCGTCGTTTCTTCAGTGCTTTAATATTAAATATTTTTATAGATTATTTTCTAATGATGATTCCATTAAAGTAAAATTCAAAGAGTCGCTGTTCTCATTTGCACGCTTGAAGCATTATTCATTCGAGCGTGTTAAACTCGTCAAGCTACGTACCGGTGGCTTCAAATTAATGGAAAAATCCGCAGCTAAAAAAACCGGAGACGATTTTGGAACACCCTTTGCGTTCTCGGCTTCAGAAAAAGGTAGAAATACGCTCTTCTCATTCCATCTTGTCACGTAAACGGACGAACGTAATAATTCACTGCGCGTTCCTGTCTACAAAAATATCGCTTTCACGACGCCTTTCTTGAAAATGTCATTCTAAACTTAATGTCAATTATCCGCGAACAAATGAGCGCGGTTTCACTCGCGTCACTTAGGGCCGATTTAGTCGACGTCGCGACAGTCGCGACACTAATCTTTGTTCGTTATATACTTCTTCTCTCTTCAAGCTGTAGCGAGCTATAATTTGTACGAATAATAATCACGATTGCATAATTACGATCGAAAAAAATATCTAACAAACTACAATCGGCGCAGTTAATATACATATAAATGAATTTTAGTTTTCCTAATTTTTGCGATAAAGGTATGGCGTCGTAAATTTGTACAAAAATTTGCTGCGCCGTTTGTGCTCCATGGACATTTTGCAAATCAATATTTTAATTGCTGCAAGAGATAAAAAATTAATGTACTTGGTAAGCGTCACGTACGATGGATCGAGGTCATTGGCGGTGCATTCCGTATGCATGCACTGTTTGCCACTCGATTTGTAGTACGCCAAAACTTAATTAATAATTCAGGACGCTAATGTAACGCATACCAACGCACGCCATCCAGGTGCCTTAAGCACCGCGTTGCTCCGTCTCCGAAAGGCAGTTAAACGTAACTTAAAAAACCTTCATGAATAATCTTGCACATTGATTACGCGTCCGATGAGAATCGTAGCGCGATTCTATTGTTGATCATCGAACGCTAGAGAGCATCCCTCGCGTCATTATGGCTCAGGTGAACGTCGGAGCCGGTGGATTACTCCACCTGCCAAAGTGATGTGGGTTTAGGCGGGGATCCCTAATAGTTCTGAAACGGTACGCGAGTCGGGAGGTTAGCTAGTTGGCGAGATAGACATGGAGCACGAAGGTGGGATGCGACGGTGAGAGGGGTTGATAGAGCGATCGAGCGGCCGAGCGGGGCGAGGGACGAAGGGTGGCGGGGTGCTCGGCACGGAGATCGGACAGACCAGCCGTGACCAATTTGCGCCCGTTCGTGCTCCCGATTCTGATCCCGATTCTATCCGTTCGCCGCACACAAATACACGTACGAGTACCGTGCGCGCGCTGTTCGCACACATATCGACGCGCGACCCCCTCGATCTTCCCTTCTCGATGCCCATGCACCCCCTGTCTCTTCCCTTCCGCCCACTCTTTTCCCATCCCCGCCTCCTTTCCCTGTATCCCCCGATCCGCGCGCGCGTTGGCACCCTCCTGCCAAGAGATATTCGTCACAGAAAGTCGCGTTGTGTCGCTCGGTGAGCAGGCCACCCCAAAAGTTTCACGCCTATCTGGACCGGCGGCACCATCTATTCGCGCCACGATAATTGGCCAATTAAAACCGGGCGAGAGCGTTCGAGTTACCTGCCATCCGATAATTATACGGTGTCCTCGCGGCGGTTCGACCACGTATCCACGCGACCGGGCGTGGGTGGTGGAGACGAATAGCAATGAAGAGAGAGAGAGAGAGAGAGGGCAGGAGAGGAACAGGGGTTGGGGGACAGGGGTGGGACTCAAATCGCAGGATGGACGCGGGAGGAAAGGTTCCTCCGGAGGGCCGAAAGGCGGAGGACGGAATCGACTATTCCGATCACGTGGCTTCGGATTCTACAACTACGGTGGTCCTCTCGGTCTCTCTCTCTCTCTCTCTCTCTCTGACCTCCCTCTCCCCGAGGCCACCCCGCTCCTGCTTCCGTCTCGCAACCCCGCGGCGCGACTCTCCTCTCGTTCTCTCGCTTACATCCTCCTCCGCGTAAATCAATGCGGACAGCACGCCCTTTCCTTAACCCCGCGACGCATGACTGGAGTACTCCTTGATGCCGCGTTTAGTCGCGATAGGCAACGTTTACCGAGATACTCCGATTAACTGCAGCATCAACAATGGCGGACATTAGTAACGGGTTTCGGGGAAAGCCTTTGTATCGTGAAACGGATATATTCAATCTTCCGTATCAATCGAAAATAGTAACAAGTAAAAAAGTAAGAAATGCCGAAATTTGATTATGTATCTCATAAGTTAAACACTTACTTAATGAAGGGTAAATCGATTCACTGGTCTCACGTGAAATATCAAATAATAAACATAATTTCTCAGTATTAATACTGTTAAAATATTAATTACATGCTAAAGATATTTGATTATTGCGATGTTGTTATGTTCTTCCTAATGCAATATTAAGGTTATTAATGAATCGTTAATTCAGAATTTATATAATAAGAATTCCTACGTAGTTCTACCGTTATCGAAACAGAATTAATTAAAAAGCATAATCCGAAGTGTGTAATAATTATCGCGAAAGTTAATTTAATGGACGTTTAAGCGCAGAGAAATAAGTTTCACGTCTATAATACACGTCTCATTAGGAAACTCCTCCTCTGATTTACTTCGCGACCGAATGATTGATCGTTTACCCCTAATTAGAGATCGGGGAGCTCTTGAAAAAGTAGACGAAATTACGCGTGACACGAGCGGAAATTAGGTTCATGGAGAGCAGAATGATATATGGCCGTTATACTTCAGTAACGTTAGCGACGACGGTGTAGAGATAACTATATCCAGTGACAACTCTATTTCAGAAAATCTTAATGCCCTTATCTCGTTGTAATGACATTAATTACGACGGTAGTT